CTCCAGTGGGCTTCTAACAGCAGTCATGACATCCTACACATGTAAGATTGTGATTCAGCTGTGCGTGGAGCCAATCACAGGAGATGTTGAGAGGCTACAATGGGGAAAGACAGCATACACGGTTTAAACAAATCATGAAAAAAAGTGCACGTACTGTAAAGAAAACAAAATTAAAAGCCTTTAAAAAAATTATTCCAAGTGACCGTTATTACTGGATGTCCACACAAGTTAATTTTTTGGCTCTGTCGTGGAAAACATTACCTGTATTTGGGGTCTTTTTTTAAAACGTTAAAATTTTTAAATAAATTTGAGTCATAGTGAGCATCTCAGAGGAAATGAAAATGATTTGATGGTGGTTGAGCACTAAACAGACTACTGTGCAGATTTTATGAATCCAATGGGAATTTTGCATATGTGTTTTGCGTGCAGAGTGAGAACATTTATGTGCAAATATAAGTGAATAAGGCCCATTTTCTCTCATGTGCAAACATGACAATTGAAGCATTCCATTTTTCTTTTTAATGACTTGCATTTAAATTTTTCCGAGCACGGCCTCCATTTAATTGTACACATAGTGAGAAATGCTTCTAAACTTTATTTAATACAAACAAATTCAGGTATAAGAATATGCATAAATCTATTATGTGTGTACACACTGTTAGTAAATGATAAAAAAAAAAACTAAACAAAACTGGGTTTAAAGGGTTTTTGTGTGTGCGGCGTGTTTAGGCAGGCTGACTATGCCACAGAGAGAGACCGAGTCAGCGCTTCTTATGAAGCTATTAGAAAACAACGGCCTGGGGACTGGCTTCACTTGTCTCCTGTTTAAGCTGAAAATCAACAGGCCTGCAGAAGTGAATTGCATCGTTTTGCATCTTGAGAACATCAGCGGCATCTGCAAGCTCCAAGCTCCAAGCTGCATGCCACAACTGCCGTTAGAAGCCTGCTTCAATGATGTAGCTGTCAGCGCTTAAGAAAAATCTCTGCAGGTGCCCACATGGTTGCATGGATGCACATGTTCATATTCCAAAAACAAGATGGTAATACTCCAAATATTCCAAATATTGAAGATGATGCTTCAAAGCAGGGATCAACTGCCGTGCCAAGTTATGAACGATGGATCAGCTCAGTAAAGACAGAAAAGCAACAGCTTTAAAAAAAACACACAAAGCATAAACACATTTTTAATGTATTTGTTTTTGTTTTTTTTATTTATATTTCCTGATTGAAATGTATTGTAAGGTCATAATTTGTCATTCATCACATTACATGGCATGATGCACCAGGTCTACTACACCCATTTACAGGAGGAATACACGGAAACATACACAAGGTTTTACAATGGGGAAACAGGAAGTTTAGCTCATTGCACTTACAACAGTGAATGGAACACTTTGTACTCATTTTTAGGCTCTCCACCTTTTTCTGTATTTTATTTTCAACCTTTTACTTCATTCAATTGCATTATTTTATAATTATTTTAGTTTTTTTTACACACACATTTTCATTGTCCGCTTCACCCTCTCCCCATCTCCATAAAATCCCCCCCACCCACCCCAAAAGTCACATGGAAGCCAGGATATTTTTCCCTTTTTTGATTTTGATGTTCTCATTTTACAAACACGACATGTATAGAAACTCTACACAGACCAATATGTTTATTTTTTCTCATATCCGAATACAACTTTTTTTTTTATTTAATGAGTTTTAAACAGTCCGCACGAGCCAGCCACATACGCACAACGATGCATTTTGTCGTTTTATTGATCAAATCAACATCTGATCTTGTTCGTTATGTTCTCTCGTTGTTTTTATACACGAGTAGCACGAGTCTGGGCAGGGAGTTTCCGGCTTGCATACGCTCCAGCTTGTGTTGCCGTTTTTGGTGTGCAAACGCCTCTCTCGTGCCTCTCGTGCGCCCGCGTGTGTGTATGTTTGAGATTTACCTGGCATTTACATGTTGTTGGTGTCTGTTTCGAAGCGGACTCTAGCCGGCTCTCGTGTGATATTTACACTGGAAAAAAAAACACGACATGGCAACCCGTGAAGTGGGAGGTCAAAGGTCGAAGGGGTTTGTGTGGTCAAAAGGGGGTGGGGGGGAGTAGTTAGGTCGGGTTAGGGCAGGTGTCCAGGTCATGCACTTGTCCTTTTTTTTTTTTTTTAACTTTAATGATTCATACAGGTAAAAGGTGACAATAAATGATCCCTGATGGTTTTACAGTGAAAGATGGACTCTCTCGTGGTTTTATTTTTATTTCATTTCATTTAGCTTCTTTTACAGCCTCTCACCCATGAGACATTTACACACACTATACATTTTATATATATATTTGTGTTTTAAAATCGATCTAGGGTCCTACTATACGCTCACTGTCTTCATGACCAACAGCAAGACCAGTGGTGACTGTTACTACACTATGCTCTGTACAAGCACTGCATGCTACCTTTTTTTGGTTGAGAGCACACACCCGCGGGAACGCACGCACGCATACACACACACACACACACAGTCTGGATTTCCCAAAAGCATTTTAAGCTGCATTTAAAGACAGCTCAAACAGAGACACTGTGTTTATAACTCTATGTGGCACTCTGTGGCACGTTCACGCCCAATTCAGATACAGATCAATGTCACAAAGGGTTAAAGGTCCAGATTGTCTGACTGTGCATAAATGCAGCTTTATTGCTGAGACGTTTCAGATTCAAAGACACGTCGCAGATGTGGTGGAAGAAACCTGTCGTTTAGCTTCACGTCTGTAAATCTGCCAGAGTTCTCTATCCAACTACTAGAGTTTTGTTCCAAACGGTCATTTGAATTAACATTCCTGCTGCTGGCATTGAGGAAAAACTCCAGATTTTTCTGTTTGGAGGAAGTCCCTACAGCAGATTTCATTCACGATTTGGAACACAACCCCTCAGAGTTCTATGTATCTCTAATATTGTTTACATTTGTGCTTCAAACGCCATTGAAAAACCCAGCTGTGGCTTGGTTATTTTTGCCCACTGGTGATTGCTGTGGTCTGAACAGAAGTCCATTGCATTCCTGGTTATAGACACACACCACGCAGAGTATAGACAGAGACCACGACTGGCTAGAGGGCAGTAACAGGATGGCTTTCTTCAATGACCAGTATATTAGTATAAAAGCCCTTGCTGCTATGCATATTTAAGTCACCTTCAGCGGCTGGAGCAAAAAAAAGAAAAAGAAAAAGGAAAAAAGAAACCGCCACGAACACGTTTTCACAGTTCCTGGGATTTATGTGCTCCAAATATTACAGACTCTCTCTGACTGGCAGCAGCCACGATTTCACCGGTGTCGTAAGCGATCTGCTTTCACTGCGCCTGCACAAACACACCCATTATCATCTGTTGTCTTCTGAACATCTCCGTTGCGATGCTGCCTTTAATGTGTGCTTTCCTGAGGCAAAAGTGATTGAGGATTGTTTTATTCAACATTTTATTTGATTTTTTTCTTTCTTTTCTTTTCTTTTTTTAAACAAACTTCCAAAAACATACGACATACTGTACAATAGTGGAAGTTGGTATTAACTTGGGTAACGTTAAACTCTCTCTCATATTGTTCGTTGAAGCCTTATCTGAATCTTTTGTCGGTGAAGTCACCAATCCGACGGCAGCGTATCCGCGATCTCTTCTGTTTGGGTTACACACACTTAATGTGCAACTTAGAATGAGGCTGAAGAACCGTGGTGAAAAAACATATAGGCGACTTATGTACAAACAGTTTCTCATCGATATATCTATAAATTTTCAACCTAAATCTCTCTTTTTCCTAATGCCAGCTCGCTTTCTATACCCGCTCCCTATGATAAAATAAACTCTTACATAGACGAATCATCTATAAATGATAAATGTTTCAGAAAATAAAAACAATATATACATATACTAGCTTCTTGTCAGGCCCTGCTCAAATAAGACTTAAGGTATTTATAGTTAAGGGATACTTTGATACTGCATAAACCAACTCTTTAAATCTGGATTTCAATAAATAGATTCTTTTATAACTTGCTCTAATAAGCTGCTACCAGTGCAAACCAAACACACACACACACACACACACACACGCACCCACACGTACGCAAACTCCCCTGTTTCACTGCTTAAATTCATTTAAGAATGCTTTGAATTGTGTTTAACTTCATAGCCTACAGCAGTTTCTTTTGTTAAATATAATCTATAGGTTTTGTAATAATTATACATCTGAACTTTAAATTGCTATGTCTATATCCTTTAATTTTTGGTGCTTCATTATCTGAAAAAAACAAAACTACAATTGCACATTAGGTAGCTAGCTAATAAGAATTCTGGGTCTGGTTATTAAATTAAAAAAGGGAGACCTTTTCTTCTTTACCCCTGAGCAGACACTTACCATTTTAGGGAATATATTGAAGTATATCATAATCTGTCTCTTATAATCTGTTAATTCTCCATTTTTCCTTTATAAAACTGGATTGCTTGGATGCGTTCATGACAACCGGGATTTTTGAGTCCCTGCTAAATAGTTTTCAAATATCTGCACCTGCTGCTCCCTCCTTCCATTTCAGCTATTTTTTTTTTTTGGTTTGTGTTCATTGGTAAGCAGGTTTTGACTCTTCTCTATGTGAGCTACTGATTGGCTGGAAAAAAGAAAAGTCACTTTGTATAAAAATATGAAATTGTACACTTCATCAGCTTTGCCTAACATTTGATAGAGAACAGCCTGATGCATCTAACTCATCAAGCAGCATATTTTGTTCAAATCATAGGTGTAATTTCCCAGCTGCCATGAATACATCTTTGGTTGCAGAACGGTACCCCAAACATTTAAGTTAACATGAAAAAAACAAGAAAGATCCATCTTCAGATTTCCCTTACAATTAACCAGTTTCATACACAAATTCACAGAATCCTCTTATATTAATCTACCACAGATATCAAAACAAATGTGATATGCAAAAAAACACGTGTGACTT